TATGGAGAGATGGGCTTATACATGAATTAGGCAGCTCTAATAGGGCCTAAAACAGTGGCCAAAATGCTATAAAATGAGGGCTAAATGGCATGCACACACACATGCACATAAGGACCAACACTTAAGCACAAAACAAGCAACATTCAAGCACACTTGAAAGGGACAAACATGAACAATTAGCATGCATTATAAGCTTTGAAATCATGCTAAAAACATGGTGTCAAACCAAGCAATAAGCCAAGCCAAATATGCAACAAATGGTCTAAATGCTCGAAACAAACCAATGGAGCATTAGACTACACTAAGCAAGACCAAACATGGCATGCACTCATTGACCAAAACAGAGCTTTGGGACACTAATACAAGGCCCAAGGACTACTTAGATGGCATCTAAGTGGCTCAAAAATAAAGGCGTACATAAACACCAAAACATGGAGCATTGCAACGCATGCTTTCAAAGCATTAAAGAGACATGCAAGGCAATCAAACAAGCATGGAGATGGGACTGAAATAACATATAAAGTGATCTCAAATCACCAAAACAATGCAAAGATGCCATGCTACACATGCACATACTCAAGGCCAACAAGCCCAAATACAAAGGAGCTATATAATGCATGCTAAAATCAACCCAAATACTTATGGACAGATCTAAAACATGGCAAAATAAGCACATAATCTTCACAAATGCAAGCCTAAAACATGCTCCAACAAAGGCTAACAACCTAAAACATGTTAAGGCATAAATAAGGCATTACATGGCAACTATGCTAAACATGCATAAGGTTCCAAAACCAAACTAAATATCATTTATAATTATGGATATATAAGCATGAAAACAAACCACCATGCTCAACACACACTTCAAAGCATTAGGTTCATTAAGAAGGGCAAAATATGCCCCTTTTCATGGACAACAAGGAGAGGGGTGGCCCTCTACCTTCTTGGGTACTTTCAAGGCATCATCTTTCCAAACTGGAAATCTAGATTCAGTGGTGAAGAGACCTCTACACCAAAACCGGAGCTACACAAAATGGCTCAAAATGAGGCCTTTTGAGGCTAAGGTGGTCACAACCCTCAAACAAAAAAAACCTTTATACCACATAAAGAGGGCCTAAAAACCGAACTTTTTATGTTTATACTCAATAAGCAAAAACAGCTCTATAGATAGGTATACAATCAATGCAAAAATGGGGGAAAATAGGACTAGATTCTCACCCTTGATGACCTCTCACAAATGTGCTCCCAATGGCCTCCTTTGCTGCCAAACCAGTCAAGAAACTGCAAGAACAAGCCCTTAGAACCCTAGTTTCAAGACAGGAAGGTGAAACACTAGGTGTTTGTGTGGCAATAGTTAAGACACAAAAGCACCTAGTGAACAATGAGAGGGAAAGAGAGATAGAAAATGTAAATCTCACGCCCAACCCTAGATAAGAGCTGCAACAATGGCTTGTTTTTGCTCTCAAATATTCTCTCTCTTAAACCTAAGTCTCTCTCTTTGCTTAGAGAGAGCTTCTCTCTAATTAGTTCTTTGTAAGCTTTACAGACAAGCTTTACAAGAGGGAGATCGCCTCCATACACGTGTATGGAGGGGAGCCAAGGCAAGACAGCTGTCTAAAAAATATTGCAAAAGCACGATGCACAGCAATGCCGGCCAAAATGCATCTTGGGAAAAGGAGTGCCGGTCGGCAACAAATAGTTGCTGACCGGCAACAAAGATGCCGGCCGGCAAACTATATGCCGGTGGAAGCAAAAACCAGCGGTGGCATCTAGCCAACTGCCGTGGTGGGTAAGGGATTGGTCTACAAGCCCTACCCTGCCTCTCAAAGGCAAGTGCAATGTGTTTGGTGCAAAAACAGACCTAACGGTCAAGTTCGGAGATCCTGAGGTAAGGCGCGTAGCCGAGGCCTCCGGGAACTCCAAACGAACACAAACATGGATAATCACCGAGTGTTCAAACGGTGACGTCCAAGTCTTGAGGACGGTCAAAAATGGGGTGTCTACAACACTCTTTAGTTCCATGTATTGCATTATGCCTCGTATTGGTTATATTCTTGAACCCTTCTATCAAACTGTAGACAACAAGTGAATTTCTCTGGTTGGAGGGGATTTTCTCTGGGATTGAGTAAATTTCTCTGGAGTAAAGAGGGAAATTTCTCTGGGTGAATCCAGAGAAATTCTCTGGTGAGATTTTCTCTGTGAATATGCATCCAAATCACTGAAGCCATCAAACTCAAACAACACAAGTGAATTTCTCTGGTTGGAGGGGATTTTCTCTGGGGTTGAGTAAATTTTTCTGGAGTGGAGAGGGAAATTTCTCTGGGTTGAATCCAAAGAAATTCTCTAGTGAGATTTTCTCTGTGATGTGTCCAAAGAAATTTGGAATTTTCTCTATGATTTGTCCAGAGAAATTCTCTGGATCGAATTTTCTCTAGATTGATGTTGAGGGACCTTAGACATTATGAAAATATTGAGTGTCATTTATGCTATAAAATCTTAATACTAGGGACCTTAAAAAAAAATTTCCTAAATTCAATCGCATATTATATTTATTAAATAAATATAATAATATCATTATAAATTATTATTTTTTTAAAATAAATTCAATCACATATCATCACAAATGTGAATTTCAATAAAATTAACAAAGATAAAGTCTAAATCCTAACAAAGAATGTATATTTAATAATTAATTAATTTAATAGTTTGTCAGGCCGAGCTAGATTAAAAATATAAATCTGAAACTCAACCCATTAACATATCAGGCTGAAAATATTAGCCCAGCTCGACTTATGAGTTAAAATAACCTTTCCAAGTCCATCACGTGACATGATGTGCAGGCTTTGACACCAAGTCTAGCTTGCACTTAATAATAGTATAAACAGATAATTAATAAATACTACTACTAATAATAATATAGATATAGATATAGATATATAGATAAGCAAGGAAGTGTTGGGTTTTTCTGTTTATTAAAAAATAAAATAAAATAATTAATAATTGTTGTAAGTTTTGGGAAGTGGTAAAATCTTATCAGAGCTGTTTTTGTACACAAATTTTGTATTAGGCCTTATTTGAAAAATGATTTTTTTTAATATGTTTGGGATGGGTTTTTCAATTTCTTTTTTTATTAAAAAACATGCAAAAAAATAAAATAAAGAAGAAAGAATCTTTGACTTTATAGTGTAAATAAAAAAAAAAAATCTTTTTTAATATGAATTCAAAATTTATTGACTTATTGATTTTATTAAATAATTTTTTGACATTTTAATTAAATTAACCACTTGTGAATAGGAGTGGATAAACGTCGGGCCAAACTGGATTCGGGCCGGGCCGGTATTACATGATAAGAAATTTTGTGTCTGCCAAGCCTGACCCAGCCGTAATATTGAGTCTCTATATCTTCCCAAACTCAGTCTGAAAAATAATTATAAATTCCAAGACCATCTATTGGTTATATGTTAAAAAAAAAAAATTAAATCATTCCATAATTAAATTCAATCACACATTATATTTCTTAAATAAATATATTGACATCATTATAAATTGAAAAATTTCTTAAATAAATTCAATCACACATCACCATGTATGCAAGTTTTAATAAAATCAATAAAGATAAAGTTTAGATCCCAACAAAAAATTATGTATTTTAATGTATTATAATTAATTAATTAATTTAATAGCGGGCCAGACGAAGATGAAAATATAAATTCCAAACTTAGCCTATTAATATTTCGGGTTTAAAATGTTGACCTAATGTGACTCTATGGTCTAAAACATACTTTCCAAGTCCTAAAAAAATAGAATTGAGCTGAGCGGATTAAGCGGGCCAACGGGCCAATGGAAGCAAGTTTAACTTTGGGAAATTTAAAGACTTTTTTTTTTTTTTTTTAGATAATGGAAATTTAATGGCTTAAATCTCATGTATGATACGTAAATGTGATATGGCATAAATATGTGCAATAGTTACAGAGTTATGCACTGTCAAATTGATATGTATGGTACGTAAATGTGATATGGCATAAATATGCGCAATAGTTACAGAGGTATGCACTGTCAAATTGATATATCTTTCGGGAAATCAAATGTTAGTTTGTCCAGTTTTTAAATTTCTTTTTCAATTTTTTAAAAATAATAATTAATTAATTTGATAAAAATAAACATTAAAATGTTATTCTTAAAATTTTAAAATATGAAATTAATGCGTTCTAATTTTTATTTTTTTTTACCAAACCAAGTTTTAAAAAAAATAAGAATAAAATCGGAAATTTTAACCAAAAAAAGAATAAGATTATGAGGCCGTCTCGTTATTTTGGCTATATTTTTTTTTTTTTTGATTCATAAAAAAAAAAAATAATAAATAAATAAATAAAAAGAAGTTGGCTTTGGAAAGTATTTGCTTTGGATTTGGTGAAAGCAAGAGAGTGATCTGAAAAAGTAAAACCATTAAAAAATCAGATGCAGGGTCCTGCTCTCTTTACTCCCTGCCGTGCCTGCTGTGTGCCTCAAAACGACACCGTTTTATTATTTTTTTAATATTTAATTCATATGTAAAGATTTCATTGACTCTTTAGTATCCTAACTAGCTGTCGCCGTTTCTAACACTCCAAGCAAAAGTCTTTGCCCTGTTGGAGTAGAAAAGTTAGTTTTATTTTTTTTCTATACTCCAAGTAGAAGGTGTCTGTTGTGTTGGAGTAGATAAACTAGTTATTTTATTTTTATTTTATTTTTTTATATAGGTAAGAGTCCCATTAATTATTATTTTATTATAATAAAACAATCAATTCATCAAACTAAATCGTATTTTTTTTAAAAGATTAATTTTAAAATTAAAATCAAACAAATCATACATGTTTTGACTTTTTCAAAATTGGTTTAAATGCATCAAAAGTAAAATTGAAACGGAAAAAAATTGTAATTGAACAAATCAATTTATCAAACCATAAGCAAAAAAAATGAAACTTAAAAAAAAAATAGTTGTATACCAAAAAAAAAAATAATAACTTAAGGCCAAAATATATTCAATTAACATCCAACATCTGTATAAAAAAAATAATTATGAGGCATTCAAACTTCAAAATCTCCCGTCAAATATCCAAAAACTTTCTCAACCATTCTAAATCATTCAAACAAAATTCTAAAAAAACCTTCAATTTCAATTCTCAACACAAAAACTACAAAATGGATTCCCATGTCAATTTTGTGGAGGCGGCCGGGAATAAATAGAAAGATCAAAAGAAATCTCATTTCTAAATTCGGTTTCCATTGGATTGTGCCCCGCTAGATTAAGTGATATTCCCTAAAAAAAAAAATTCATTAAAATAAATTTTATGGACTAAATTACATTACAAACATATATATATATATAGAGAGAGAGAGAGAGAGAGAGAGATTACTTACTTGAGAACTTTGTGGACTATGTGATGCTTGGAAAGACAGAGGCTGTGATTGTGGATACCTTGGTGAGTATGAATTAATATCACGTGTGAGAAGATTATACCCATAATATATCAGTTGTGGCCAGTAGAAACTCCCAACATCCTACTCCATAAAACACCATGAAAAGTAAATACACTAGTACAACATAGTCTACAAAATAAACAAATAACATAAAACAAGAGCTAACCTGTGGTTAGCTTAAAGATGAATTTTGAACATTTGAATATTGCTTGATTGACCAATAGTCTAAATAAGTTATAAAATTTATCAATACATTACACAATTTATAAATAAATAAATAACATAAAACAATAGCTAACCTGTGGTTGGCTTGAAGATGAATTTTGAACATTTGTCGTGTTGCATGATTGACCAATGGTCTAAAGAAGTTCAAAAAGTTATCAATACTTTACACAATTTATAAAAATAAATGCATGTCATTTGAAATTTTAAAAATACATAAGCAATACCTTACTAAGGTGGGTTGGTTGTGAAATAACTTTTGTCTTCTTATTCATCATTTCATGCCAAGGTTTTAATCTACCCCTCTTTGTGTCCAACATTTTTCTTCTTTATGCCTTTAACTTGTGCAAAGTTGGGGTCATCCGCATCTAATTCTTTGGTACCAAAATTTCCAACTCTATAATAACCCCGACTCGTAATTAGCTACTAATCAGTGATTAAAGATGCTAATTGGGTGGATCAAATGAATTATGGGATTAATATGTAAATTGCATGATATTTGGCTTTCTATCTGTTACTTATAGAAATATCTGTTTGGAATTCCACTTTAATATGTAAATCGAAAGCCTTATCAGCATCCGAAATCGAAATTGACTACACCGATGTGTTATTTGAAATTTTTAGAACCATATGGAAAATTTTATTAAAAATTGATTTAGTCTGATTAATTAAGTCATGTTTGGTTGGCCTAATATTCTAATTAATGTGTTTTAGCACCATAAACATATATATGAGACATAAGCTCATTTTGAGCTCATTTTCTTTTATCCCTTGAGTGGAAAAATCTGGTGAAACATTTTAGAGAGAGAGTGAGCACAATTCTAGAGAGAAAAAGGGAGAGATTGAAGAAGAATTGAAGGCTTTGACTTGAGTTCACCAAGATTGTGCTAGAATAAGAGTAATTCAAGACTCTAGGTAAGATTACAACCTCTAGATTGTGTAACTAAGTCATTTAACATGAAATTTCTTCGGGTCTGTTTAGTAACGTTTACGTTTTCAATTTATATTTACAAAAATTTCATAAACTGATTTTTGTTTATTTTTAGAAAAACGTAAACTACAAACGCGTTTGGTAATTGACAAAATATTTTAAAAAAAATTAAAAATATAAAAAAGAGTGAGAAATGACAAGTGGCGGCAGAAAACGGTGGTGGAAAGTAGTGACGGTGGGTGGTAGGTAGCGGGTGGTGGCGGGTAGGTGGTGGTGGTGGGCGGGTGGGTGACAGTGGCGGTGGTGGGTGGTGGCAGGTGGATGACAGGTGGGTGGTGGTGGTGGTGGTAGGGGGTGAGTGGTGGTGGCGAGTAGGTGGCAGGTGGGTGGTGGGTTGTTGGTGGTGGAGGTTGGTGGTGGGTGGTGGCAGGTGGATGGTGAGTGGTGGTGGGGGGTGGATAGTGGGTGGTGGTGGCGGAAGACGGTGGTGGTGTGGGGTTGTGGGTGGCGGATGGTGGTAGTAGTGGGTGGGTGGGTGACGGTGGCAGGTGGTGGGTGGTTAAGCAAGTGGGGTGGTGGTGAGTGGTGGGTGGTGGTGGCAAACGGGTGGGTGGTGGGTGGGTTTGTGGTGGTGGTGGGTGGTGGTGGGGCGGGTGGCTGGTTGTGGTGAGTGGCTAAGGTGGTGGAGGTGGGTGGTGAGTGGTGGCGGCAAGTAGGTGGCCGATGGTGGTGGCGAGCGGATGGGAGGTGGGTGGTGGTGGTTTGGTGGTGGCGGTGGCGGTGGCGAGGGGTAGGTGGTGGTGGCGAGTGGTGGCAGGTGGGCGATGGTGGCAGTGGGTGGTGAGTAGTAGTGGCAGGTGGTGGGGGGGGTGCGGGGTGGTGGTGGGTGGCGAGTGGGTGGTGGTGGGTGATGGTGGCAGGTGGGTGGTGAGTGGTGGGTGGCAAGTGGTGGTGGTGGGTGGGTGCGGTGAACCGGTGGTGGAAATGGTGGTGGGTAGTGGCTAGTGTTTGGGTGGTAAAAAAAAAAAAAAAAACTGAAAACTCAAATGGAAAGCACCTTTTTTGTGTTTACATTTTTTGGCCAAATTTATAAACTAAGACCACTGATTTATAAATCAAAAATTTTACCAAACAAGTTTTTATTTGAGTTTTTAAAATTTTTGTAAATATAAACAGAAAACTGAAAACGTAAGTATTACCAAACGGCATTCAAGATTGAGTTTGATGTGTATATTGAGCTTAGAATAAAGATTTGAGTTACAATTCATGCATGCATGTACATTTTCTTACAAATTGAGCATGATTTCCACGAATCCTCTCTTGCATGTTTGAAATTCGTCTTCATTTGGGAAAATCATCAAGTTTCAAGTTGTTTTGTGGTGCTTGATCATGTTTTGAGAAGTTTGATACAAGAAAAATTCATGCATGTTGTGTTCATAAACATTCTTGAAGTTTAAGTTGAAATTGGGAACTTTTGGCAAACCTTTGGGCTATGATTTTATGAAATGGTCCTAAATTCTTCATATTTTACAAGTTTACTATGTTATCTCAAGTTTTGGGGCCCAAGAGATGTGTTTTTAAGGTTGAAATTCGAGTTTTGAGCTTAAAGGTGCAATATGGAAATTCAGAAATTGCATTTACGCTCGAGCGTGAGAGTTTACGCTCGAGTGACCACTTTGAGTGCGTGCACTCCGCTCGAGCGACCAAAAGTCCGCTCGAGCGTGAATTGCAAGCTCCCAGAAGTTTCATGTCTTTTGCAGATCGCTCAAGCAAAGGAATGTGCGCTCGAGCGTGGACCTTATTTTCAGAAATTTTTGCCTAAGTATTCCAAGGCATGTTTTGGCATCCTCATTGCATCTTAAGCATTCTTAAGCCTTAATTAAGCCATAGTAATGAGGTTATGGATTAGAAACACACTAAGAAAAGAATGTACCAAGTTCCGAGACTGCAAGTGTGTGTGTTTTAGGCAATGTGATAAGAGAGAATAAGAACCAATGTAATGAAAGCTAAACCGTGTTGGCCGTGTACATGTGTAATGATAAGATATGCTTGTGTTATGTATTTTGTGCTTGTAGGTGAAGACTTGAAGATTGATTGACCGCTTATTGGAACCACTGTGAGTAACATTATCATAAAGATACATTCATATGAATTATGTTCTAAATGAAATATGATAAGCTGTGATTTCTGAAATGATATCTGTTTTCGTGAACGAATATTCCATGTTTGAAATCTATTATGGCATCCATAGATAGTCCCAAGTCATGAAGGACGGCATGAGAATGCGGGTTTATGACATACAAGTAATTACGAGATCTCGTTAGCCACTTCATTGTGGTGATATGTGTTTAATCGGTATCCGGAACCGATTACTCTAGTCGGAAGGCGTTCTGTGATGTGTTCTATAGAATGTACCATTATTATGTTCTGATATGAAAATGATTATGCTCTGGTCTGTTTTCTGCTTATGATATATTCGGATTTCGTTCACTGACCCCTTTACCTTAATGTTATTCATTGGGCTTTAGCTCATTGTGTGTATAGATATGTATAGGTGCGCATTCTGGAGCCCGAGCCTGAAGGCTTTTGTCTGGATCTGTGTTTTGTTGTCAGCCAACCCTTGTGCCTCATGTGGAGGTTCCTAGAGTGTCTCAAGTGTTTAAGTTCTGTTGTTTCTGTATATATTAGACTCGTTTGTTCTGTTGGCTGTACTTAAGATACTCTAATGTGTGTGGGTATAATGTATGAATGGCTTTTGATTATGTCTATAAAGTTTTTAAATATTCCGTTTCATATAAATCAGCACAGCTCATTGGACAATTATATTTATGTATTGGCTTCCGCTAGCCCCTTAATTTTGTTAATCTGTTCAGAGGCCTTCGGTAATCTAAGGATTACTGGCCGGTTACGATGCTAAACCTATAGGGGCGGGTTTGGGTCGTGACAAACTCCCTTCATCATATTATTTACTTTTACACACAATTCCTTAATCCTTTCATCAACCAATTGATAGGCAAGTTTGTGCATAGATGCTTGAGTTGCTAGTTCCACCATTCTTGGACAAAAATCTCTATAACGTGCTAATATCAACAACTTCGGATCATCCTCATCTACTATAACATTTTTCTCTTCAATTTCACAATCTTTTGCATCCAATCTCCATCGGCCTAATATATACCTTTTGTGAATTTCCATAACATTTATTCTATCAAGTGCTTTGATTGCATGGCTATATAAAATTCCAAAGTTTTCAAATTTCTTACAAGTACAATGTATTTCTCGACAGCTTTTTTCTTCTCTTAGCCCAGTAACTTCCACCCTACCCTTCACAATATACTCTTCATCATTACCATACAAGCCAATCACGCACTTAACTTCTCATTGTAACTCATGGAATTGCTTCACTTGACAACAAAGGGACATATTGTAACAACCCCGACCTTTGATTAACGTTAATCCATGATTAAGTATGCCTAATTAGTAATTAAGGAGAAATTTTGAATTTAAAATGCATGTGTGTGTTGCATTGTTGTGTTTATATTTGTTAGGCGTAGGAAGATCTGTTCATGTTTTAGTTTCGGTTTGTGAATTGAAAGCCTTATCGGCGTCCGAATCAGAAATTGACTTGATTTGTGTGCTAATTAGGATTTATAGAATTTTATGGTAGGTTTAATTAAAATTCGGTTCGGAACGATTAAATTTGATTAAAATAATGCCATTTGTTTATTTTTGATCAATTACTACCTAAGGCCATTTTGCCCCACTAAGTTGTCTTTTTTATTTCATTTCTTCCTCAACTTGGTGCTCAACGTGAGAATGGGAGAGATTTGAGATATTTGGGTCATAGGTTCAAGAATTGGCTTCACAAGGGGGAATTGGCTAGGAGATTGAAGATAATTTGAAGCTTTGGGTTAGGATCACACTTGAAATCAACCTCAGGTAAGAACTATACTCCTAAACTTTGTATTTAAGGCATTAAGTAAATGAACTCATGTAAGGATTAAGCTAAGAATTGGTGAATTGAAGCTCAATGCATACATGCATGTGTATTTCATGGCATTTGAGGTTGTCCTTCTAAAGAATCCTCGCATGCATGTCATAATCCAAGCTTTGTTTTAGAAATTCTTCATGTTCCATGTCATATTGTCTTAGTTGATCATGTTTTTGGGTTGAACATTGCATTTGGTCATGTTTGGAAGACTTGAGTTCAAAGAATTGCACACAAGTCATGTACATGAATTAATTTCAAGTTTCAAGTTGAATGTTGCACAATTGGCATACTTTTGGGCCATGATTTCTTGTTATGATGCTTTAAACATGCTGTTTTATGAGTCTCTAAGTGTTTTCCAAAGTTTTGGGCCCAGAAAATCGAGTTTGATGCATTTGGGGTTGAATTTGAGCTCGGTGATCAAATCTGAAATTTCCAGAAATTTGATCCACGCTCGAGTAGGGAACTTTACGCTCGAGCGTGCACTCTGAGTACATGCACTTCCGCTCGAGCGTCGAGATTTACGCTCGAGCGTGAAATGCATATACCCAAAAGTTCTTGTGTTTTGCAGTCCGTTCGAGCGAAGGTCTGAGTCTCACGCTCAAGCGTCCGTCGAGCGTGAAAATCATGCATCCAGCACTTTTTCGAGAGTTTACAGTCTGCTCGAGCGGGGAAAGTCACGCTCGAGCGGAGCTTCATTGTCTGCATGTCTGCTCGAGCGGGGAAAGCCATGCTCGAGCGTGGACCTTATTTTCCGCAAGTTTCAAGAAATGTTTTCCAATGCATTCTTGCATCCTCGTTCCATCTTAAGCATTCCTAGGCCATGTTTAAGATTCCATAATGAGGATTAATGGTTAGAAACACACTAAGAGCCAATGAGGTAAGTTATGTATAATTAGAACGTGTGTTTCAAATGTGTGTCTGTTATGTGTTATGTAGGTCACGTGCCACATACCGTTTGACCAATCTGCTCCGTCTATCTGTCTCAAGGCCAACTGTGAGTAATAACATAGTAAAGCTATGTTCAACTTTACTTATTTTCTGTGTGATGAATTAAGATCTGTTTTCTGAAATGATATGTTATGTACAATGAATGATTGTCCAATTTCTGATATGTATTCGTGACATCCTTAGCATCATGTGATATCTGTTGGCTGTTATCCGGTATCGGAGGTTCCATCATGGAACTTAATATGTCTGCACTCTATTACCCGTACCGGAGGCCCTATCACGGGGCTCAGCGTGTTCATTTTCTGTTACCTGGATTCGGAGGTTCCTTTATGAAACTGGTTATTCGTAACCCTCACGTGTCTGCATCTGTTCTGTATCTACTCTGTTAATGCTAATGGATGTATCACGTATACTTAAGCATACCTCATGATTTCTGTATATGATCTGGACAAATTATGAATTTGATACGAAACTGAATTATGATTTCTGAATCTGTACGGATTCATTCATTGAAACCCCTTTACTCTGTTATTGTTCACTGAGCTTTTGCGCACAGTATATATTATGTATGTAGGTGAGTCGGCGCGTGATCAGGGCCAGAGTTAACGGCCTTCATTTTTGTTTTTGTCAACCAACCGTTGTACCTCCCGAGGAGGTTCCGATTGAAGTCTAGTTACATGGTTGTTTTTGTACTTATGCTAGTCTCTGTCTATTTTGTAAAGTCGGGTCCTGGGAATTACACTTTTGTAAATGTTATGTAAATATTGATGTCCTTCGACCGAGACGCTTATGTATATGCAAGTTTTGAAATCTTTTGTCCCATGTATGTTATCATAGCTTATTGAACCTCGTCTATTTTGTATAATTGCTTCCGCAGCCCCTTACTATGTGCTTATCTGTTAAGAGGCCTTTGGTAATCCACGAATTACTGGCCGGTTACGATGCTAAACCTACTGGGGCGAGTTTGGGTCGTGACACATATCCAACTCATAATGAAATAAATCAAAGATAGGAGGGGTTCACAAACTTGCAACCTAGATTAAAATGGGAGCCTTTTTTAATTTCATTCTTGGTAACTTTTGTCTAGAATCATATATTGCAGAAATTTCCTCATACCGCTTATCTACAACAATCCGATTGAAGTGAGTAAAGAATTAAACAATGTCATGATCACCTTTCAAATATCTCCTTAATGTTCTATTTAGACTTTCACAAAGTTGTGTGCTTCGCATTCCTCCAGTAAATACCCACTTCATATACAGATGCGCCCACCGCTCTCTTTTTCTCCAAGTTCTTTTCATCCGCTCATTCTCTTGCATGTTGTATTTATCAATCGAAGAATTCCAAGCTTCAATTAATTCATGCTTGTTCTCGTAGTCATAAATCCAAGCTTTTAAATCGCTACTAAATTTTGAACCACTCTTGAACAAGTAACCTAAATGCTTTAAAGCATTTTGCATTAGGTGAAAAGTGCACAGCCTATAAAAAAACCTCAGGCATGATTTGTGAAATTGCCTTAGCCATTGCTTGATCTTGGTCTGTGAAAAAACTAATAGGCTTTTTTCCCAACATTGCATCCAAAAAAGTTTCAAATAACCATTCAAATGACTTTGCAATTTCATCATACAATAATGTTGCACCAAAAATCACAGTCATTCAAAAGTGGTTAAAGCTAGAAAATAAAGAAAGTGGACGGTACTCATTTGTTCTAAAAGTTGTGTCAAATGACACTGCATCACCAAAAAGCCCATAATCTGTTATCATCTGATGATCAGCCCAAAAAATATTAGTAATCATCTCATCTACATCCAACTAAATGGCATAGTAAAAATATGGATTTTCTGCCACTTGCTGTTGGAAATATCTTAACAAACTCTCTGCTTCAACATACACTACTAAAAACTGGACTTTTTGCGACAGTCTTAAACGTCGCAAAAGGTCATATATCATCGCAAAAAACTTTTGCACGGAGCGAGGACGGGAAATGGGTGGTGGCGGAAAGGGGCGTGACAAAAAGTATTTGCGACAGTTAAAAACCGTCGCTTTCTTGTAGCGACGGCTAATCAATGGTTTTTGCGACGGTTTCGCCTGACACAAAAAAAAGGGAAAAAACGTCATTTTTAGTGACGATGTTTATTGCCGTCGCCAAAAACTTCTTTTAGCGACGGTATTTGCCGTCGCAAAAAGTATTATTAGCGACAGTCTAAAACGTCGCCAAAAAAGTAGTATTAAATTAATACCATATTGGCGACAGTTTAAACCGTCGCAAAAGATTTATTTGCGACAGTTGAAACCGTCGCAAAAGATTGGAACTAATATGTATATGCGACAGGTTAATCCGTTGCTAATAAAATATAAGGAAATGAGGATTACATCAGCGACGGTTTATTATTGTTGCAATAAAATTATTTTTTATAAAATCATATTTTATTAAATATTCTCTGTACAAATTATTAATATTTTCTAAAATACATCCAAATCCAAATCCACATCCACATCCACATCCACATCCACATTCAAAAAGTCATATACCAAGAATAATATATATGTACCTTGTAACAATTGTCAACCAAATATTTTTTACAAAAATATATAAAACAACCTCTAACAATACTAATAATTTTCGATATTCAAGAACTCAAATTTTTAGTATCGACAATAGAAATAAAATAAAAAAAAAACATATGTAGTGTAGCTAGTTTTGATATCAATAGTAAGCTCCAATATTCATATGCGAAGATATCACGTACTCAAAAGGTTTATATCTGCAAAAAGAAACAAAAAAAAAACATCATTTACAACATAATTATTTTCAAGCTTACAGAAAATGTAAAACATTTGATATTTTTTTCAAAAAATAAATAAATAAATAAGATTGTTGATATCAATAGTAAGCTCCAATATTCATATGCGAAGATATCACGTACTCAAAATTTTTATATCTGCAAAAAGAAACAAAAAAAAAACATCATTTACAACATAATTAATTTCAAGCTTACAGAAAATGTAAAACATTTGATATTTATTTCAATAAATAAATAAATAAGATTGTAACATATACATGAATCGAACACTGCGTAATATATCTTCCCACAACTTCTCCAACTGTTCTTAGACATCGGGATGTTGTTTCCAAAAGAGCGTTCGGCTTGTTTGCTTTTAAGACAAAAAATTTGCAATATTTAGGGCCAATTGGAACTCCATCAATTTCATACAACGAATCGACACTAACAAGAAGTCCCTCAGCCAATTGGACTCTTGGTATTACAGAACACTCCAAAGAAACTTTAATTACATCCTACAATGATGATAATACTATTAAAAACAGGCAATGATTGTACACATTGTGCTATAATTTGACAATAATCGAATAAACACAAAAAGAGTTTGTAAAGAAGAAGTTTTCATCGAGTTTCGTCTTCTCCTACAAGTCATGTGTGCCTAGTATGTTGTGCGCGTCAAGTTTCGTTGACATCCGAACCCGTTTGAGCATTTTAGTGTGTCAAACGGTTCGAAAAAGAGTTATTAAGTAATAAGATTTCATAAACAGAAATTAAGCTCCAGATTCAAAACCGGGAATTGGTTTCGAGTCCCGTCTTCTCCTACAAGTCATGTGTGCCTAGTATGTTGTGCGTGTCAAGTTTCGTTGACATTTGAGCCTGTTTGAGTATTTTAGTGTGTCAACCAGTTCAAAAAAGAGTTTGTAAAGAATAAGTTTTCATAAACGAAATGAATGCTCTAGATTCAAAACCGTGAATCGGTTTCGAGTTCTGTCTTCTCCCACATGTCATGTGTGCCTAGCATGTTGTGTATGTCAAGTTTCGTTGATATCCGAGCCTGTTTGAGCATTTTAGTGTGTCAAACGGTTCGAAAAAGAGTTATTAAGTAATAAGATTTCATAAACAGAAATTAAGCTCCAGATTCAAAACCGGGAATTGGTTTCGAGTCCCGTGTTCTCCTACAAGTCATGTGTGCCTAGTATGTTGTGTGTGTCAAGTTTCGTTGACATCAGAACCCGTTTGAGCATTTTAGTGTGTCAACCGGTTCGAAAAAGAGTTATTAAGTAATAAGATTTCATAAACAGAAATTAAGCTCTAGATTCAAAACCAGGAATCGGTTTCAAGTCCCGTCTTCTCCTACAAGTCATGTGTGCCTAGTATGTTGTGCGTGTCAAGTTTCGTTGACATTCGAGCCTGTTTGAGCATTTTAGTGTGTCAACCGGTTCGAAAAAGAGTTTGTAAAAAATAAATTTTCATAAACGGAAAGAAGGCTCTAAATTCAAAACCGGGAATCGGTTTCGACTTCTGTCTTCTCCTACAAGTCATGTGTGCCTAGCATGTTGTGCATGTCAAGTTTCGTTAACATCCGAGCCCGTTTGAGCATTTTAGTGTGTCAACCGGTTCGAAAAAGAGTTTGTAAAAAATAAGTTTTCATAAAAGGAAATTAGGCTCCAGATTCAAACCGGGAAACGGTTTCAAGTCCTGTCTTCTCTTACACGTCATGTGGGCCTAGTATATTGTGTGTGTCAAGTTTCATTGACATCCGAGCCCGTTTGAGCATTTTAGTGTGTCAACCAGTTCGGAAAAGAGTTTGTAAAGATTAAGTTTTCATAAACGGAAATTAGGCTCTAGATTCAAAACCGGGAATCGGTTTCGAGTTTTGTCTTCTACTACAAGTCATGTGTGCCTAGTATGTTGTGCGTGTCAAGTTTCATTGACATCCGAACTCGTTTGAGCAATTTAGTGTGTCATCCGGTTTGGAAAAGAGTTTGTAAAGAATAAGTTTTCATAACCGGAAAGAAGGCTCTAGATTCAAAATCAGAAATCGATTTCGAGTTCTATCTTCTCCTACAAGTCATGTGTGCCTAGTATGTTGTGCGTGTCAAGTTTTGTTGACATACGAGCCCGTTTGAGCATTTTAGTGTGTCATCCGGTTCAAATAAGTTTGTGACTTATTTGGATTCGAAGTATTACATTGATTTTATAATTTTTTTATATTATTATTCATATTTTTTAGATCATTTAAGCACAAAACTTTTTATTATTAAATAAGTCACCCCTAAATCACAATTGTAAAATTAGTATACAAAATATTATTGCAGAAATTCTAATTTATCTCTACCTATGGGCCACTTTGTCTTGGATTTGATCACATTACTTGGTACTTTTGGTTAAATAAACTAGCACACATATATGTTAAGAACTATTATATATGTATATATATATATATATTATGAAAGTTCCCATTTGATGAGACTTAAGGTTTGGTTTGGTTATATATATATTATGAAAGTGACTTAAATACAAATATTAACAAGTCCTAAATATACATATTAACAAAATCGTTATGGGTGCTAAAGATATTTTTACCAGATGTTATTGTTTGATTTTCTCCAACTTGATCTCAGCTTTGATAGCAACAAAAAGGCATAGAAGAGCCAAAAACAGCAACAGAGAGCAATCACTTCCAGTTTTTGTCAGTGAGCATGACCAATTCATGCCCATTGCTAACATTACTCGGATAATGCGAAGGGTTCTCCCTCAACATGCCAAGATCTCCGACGACGTCAAAGAGTACGTCCAACAATGCATCTCCAAATTCATCAGCTTCATCACTGGCGAAGCCAACGAGCGCTGCCACCACGAGCAGGGCAAGACTGTCACCGCCCAGGACATCCTCAGTGCAATGGGTAGGCTTGGTTTTGAGGACTACGTAGAGCCATTGACTCTATTCCTGAACCATTATAGAGGGATTGAGAGCGAGCATACCTTGATGCGTGGAGAGCCCTTTGTGAAGCGCACCACCGGGGATTTCGTGCAGCCTGGGCCTGGAAATTATGGGCCGCAGGGTTTCCCCGTGACCCAAACCCAAGCCCAAGGACTTTTGGATGCACATGCAGCTATGATGAAAAAGGGAATGAACAGTTACTATGGGGACAGTCGCGGAGGAGGCAGCTCCTCTTCCAGCCAGGCTGCTCTGCCTAGCTTTGATCCGTGTGGGCAGTTCAAGCGGTCTTGATGATCACAATGGTAGTGAGAAAATGACAATAGGCTATAGAAAACTATATGATAAATTAAGATTTATGGTCATGCTATTTTATTTTGAACTAAGTAGAGAGTATTCGATATTGGTTTGATAATAATTTTATTGTTGGGTTTTTCATTGAAATTTTGTTCAGCATTTGAAATTCTGTTATTACAACTAGATTTGCAAGAAATGCAATGAATTTCACAAATAAAGATCTGAATACCTGTTGAAGGAATCCGAGAGTTGGTGGCTATGGGCTCATTGTTAGACCGTGGAGTTTGAGTACAGATGGTGTTGTTTGATATAATTGATCACTTCATCTGCTATTAGACATTTCACTGACAACCTTGCGAAATGCAATCCCTGGTAGACATATATATATATATACATAATGTAAGAATTTAAAGCCAATGTCATGTAGAACTGATCGTGTTGAGGCAAAACCATTTAACTTACTCGTGTTGAACTGATCTGGTTTGGTACAAGTTCACCTACAACTTTGATGTTAGTCTGCAGTGATATACATATTAGATTTAGAGGCATGATGCAACCCAAATAATCATGAAACAGCAACCTACTGAATCTCCTGAAAATAGGAAATCACTCCATTTGGTGCAAAATTCTGAATTTCAAAAAATTGAAATATTCTCAAATTCATCGTCTTAAATTATATGGTATGATATTTGCAAAACCTTGGTGCGATCATTTAGACCACTACCATCCTTTTCCAAGTACATGGTTGAAATAAGATCTCATTTCAATTTCAAATAATAATATTTTACTCTATTCAAAACTGTGGTGTGATCATTGCATTAGTCTGGACAATAAATCATAGAAATTGTCTGTCCATATGGCCTCCATAGAGCAAGTTAGAATGATGAATAGAAAGTTCTGGTAAAATGACGCACCATGGAAACATTGTAGCATCATATCTATCAAAAAGAAGAAAGCTATACAAGGAACTACAATTACCTTGTATTCGTTTAAAATTTCATCATTAGAGAAAATTTTCCCAATGTCTTGACCTTCTCTGCGAATTCAAACCACACCAAAGTCCCTAAATATAGTCCTTACCTAAAACCTGAAACATGTACATTTGGATCAATTATAATGTGCAGGCTACAGCTAATCAACATCACCTCGTCTTTTCATAGTAAGGAAACTATGTTCCCATTGATTACTTTTCTCAAAAGCAAATTATCCAAAACAAACTTTAATATCCACTCTGAAAATTGTTTTTATGGAGGGACATCTACTATATGGTTAGTAATAGTTACTGTATGTAGGCATAATGATGATTGATTATAGATATATAGTACAAAGTATCAAGTGTAACTGGATAGACACAAATAAGTTTTCATTTGCTTTTTCATTACTGTCTTGCATTACTGTCTTAAGGCCAAAATAAGTCAAATGTATATCGTTACATATCAATAGTAGCAGCAGAATTGTAGAACTATGCTAAGGTGCCCAGACTATGAGGGCAATATCAAAAACTTTCTTCTAGCCTTTCACATCCTAAAAAACTACAAAATAAGACTAAAATGTTGACCTCATGATTTTAATTGGGCACAGGCAAATCCACAAATTTACAACCTTAAATGCTTATTTTATTTTGTTATTTTCTAGATCATATAATGGACTACATCAAAGTGTCTCGATTTGGTTGAGAACATGTTGTGATAGGTTTCGGAAATTGAGAAATTGTCAGTTTTCTCCTTAAAATATACGCAAAGATAACCCTAGATAAGTCAATAATGAGCCCTCTGCTCTATTCTTTCTTTTTCTTTTTCTTTTTTGGTTTGTTTTTGAAATGAAAAGTGTGGGTGTATTGCACAGTAGCAGCAAGTTGAGTACAAAACTAAATTCGAGCCATTTCGAGCCATCACATTTTGAGCTACATAGTGGTACTCTATTAATTAATTGATTCTCAAAGCTGATATAGGTTATACAAAATTTGGGAAGGTTTAAAGCCCTAGATTCCTTTCAACCCTTGAATAACACTTTAATTTTGTTTAGTTTAATTTTTAGATCCTAGCTATGTTCTTTTGACATGCAAATTGGTTACCATGATAAATTTATGAAATCAACTTCTGTGCTTAGAAATTTCGTCTTTGTATCTGGATGATGCCTTTTATTAGTTTACTTACCAAAACAAAAAATATGCCTTTTATTAAGACTAGGGGTGCTCGCGGTTTGATGGTTCGGTTGCAGCCAAATGAATTTCAAATCTATCATCCGTCAAAAACTAAGCGGATTGAAAAAAATCAATCCGCAACCATCCGCTCGTCATCACACATTCGTCCAAAACACGACGGATCAAATCGATTCGGCCAGTTTGGGCAGATCGGTATATCCACCGCTCACCCCTATCTACAAGGAAGAATTATATGTAGGTGAAAATTAGAGAAAAAAATAATAATAATGAAAAAAATATCAACACATAAAAATGTATAACACGATTTTCTATTTGTACCTTAGGACAAACACACATGTATTTGTAATTTTTTTCCCACTTCTCACCTCCATAGTTCTGTATCTATCTCCAATCACTACCCCCTCTCCCATGTTTCCCAATCCATTCTCTCTCTCGCTCAAAGTATCATCAAGCATGGTATCGTTGGTACCGGTTCTTTCGTCCACAATTTCCCGCCTAAACTTCCTTCCCAGACCCTTGTTTTACCACTCCCTCAGAGCTCTCAGTCTCACAACCCTCCAATTCAACTTCAAAGATACTAGACCCACTCTGTCTCCTTCCAATTCTTCATCTTCCATACTCTCAATGTCCAATTTGAGTTCCCCAAAACCCCAAAATGAAAACCCAGAAACTGTATCTGATAATTTGGTCATTCTGGACATTGAGACGAGCTGTGATGACACTGTCGCTTCTGTTGTAAGTCACACACAAACAAACCCTGTATATATATATTCACTTTATGTGTATGGTTTACTTTGTGGGTTTGATTTGGATATTTATTTGGTTATTGTTTGATTTTAGGTTCGGAGTATATATACTACTGTTATTCACTTTATGGTTAGGGTTTACTTTGTCCGTTTGATTTGGGTATTTATTTGTTTATTGTTTGATTTTTGGTTCGGAGTAATGGTGAAATTCTCAGCCACGTTGTGTCATCTCAGGTACAGTCTTTGAAATTTTAGGTTTTAGGGAATTTTGCTTGATATGTATTATTATTATTATTTTTTTTTTTTTGAATGTGCATTTGTTCCCTGATTAGTATTGTAACCATTTTACTTTTGTTTGTGTGTGTATATATAATACTAGATATCTATTTGAAATTGGTAGTTGCTGTTTTGCTGTCTGGCTTCTTGTTTCCTAGCCAACCAATGGATGAATTGCATTTTAAGGTTGACTAAAAATTTGAGTTAAACCTAAGGAGTGTGATATTGCATTTGAATTAATTTGTGAACTCATCATGGAATTAACGCAAATCAGTCTTTTTGTTCCGGAGAATTGGCATGCACCCGAATGAAACTACCCCACTATTCTACACAAATTGGGGTTAACCACATGTTTGAGTTGTGAGTTTGATCAAGAATTACACATATAATTTATACATATGTACACACATCCAATTTTTGCACAAATCAAACACACACCAACACAAAATCAATGATGAAATTCTTGATTGTGCAGGGAAAAACAGACGGTAGAAGCCTAGAGGAAAGCAGAGGAAAGCAGAGGAAGGCCATACCTGGATGCCGGAGGGAGAACTAGAGTGACGCTGTTGTTGCCGCTGCAAGAGAGACGGTGCTACAGATGCTGTTGTTGCCGCTGCTACAGACGTTGTTGTTGCCGCTGCGCGAGCAAGAGCGAGAGGCAGAGTGACGACTGGGTGAGAGGGAAGGTCTGCGCGAGCAAGAGCGAAAGGAAAGAAGAGGATTACCTAGATGCTGTTGTTGCCGCTGCAAGAGAGATAGAGTGACGACTGGGTGAGAGGGAGGGAGAGAGCAGTGAGATTAGGGTTTTTTTTTTTTTTCCCCCTTTTTTTTTTATCCCAAGAGATAACAGAGAATTTGGGAATATCGGAAAGGAGGGAGAGAGGGAGAAGGTTTTGGCGCGAATTTAGGATTTACTACTTGCGGCCATATTAAGGCCCGTCGCGAGTGAAAGAGAAAAAAATAAAATTTTGCGACCAATTGTCAAAAGAGCGCCGTAAAAAGGGAAAAAAAATTTAAAATCAAAAAAATTTTGCCACGTTCAACTTACTGTCACATATAACCTTACTTTTTGCCACGGGCTAACTATTTGCGTTGCAAAAATAATAAATTTTGTGACGGCACTTAAACCGTCGCAAAAAGCAAACTTTTGCGACGACACTTAAACCATCAAAAATTGTTCCGTGTCAAATGCCCCTTTTTTTAGTAGTGATACTGCAAGTTTCGCTGTCTTTTTGCATGTAAGTAAGTAGGTTTTCAGATCCTCTCACGTGAACCCTAAAAATTCCTTCCCTCCTGCTATAGCACTAACAAGATCATGTGAAGCCTTAAGAGATATTCCAGTCTCATTAGCTATATCAATATTTATTCCTTGAGCATCACATACCTTTCTCTGAGATGGCATCAAATGAGTACATTGAGGAAGATGCAAAGGGTGGTTGTGATTGTTATCAAACTTTGACACAATCCACTTCGAAAAGTCCCGCTTAAAAGATATATGTATGAATGCATTATACTTTGTTCTTGTCTCACTTTGAGGATTTATTTATCATTGAGTACCGTTTATCTTTTTCCCTCTCTCCCTCCTTATAACAAACAAACTTTCTACTAGTCATAGCACCATCTTTCTTGCTTTTGTTACAATAATCTCTTCTAATACTACCCCACAATTCTTCCGTATCCATTATAAAACTCATATGCTGCTTCTTCTGATGGAAACTACATACCAAGATATGGTGATTTATCCTTGGCCAACTCTCCCATTTCTTCGATGCATCCCTCAAGTCCACCATCATCTATTATAAAACTCATATGCAGCTTCTTCTGATGGAAACTCCATACCAAGATATGGTGATTTATCCTTGGCCAACTCTCTCATTTCTTTGATGCATCCCTCAAGTCCACCATCATCCATTATACTAGCCTCCATTTCAACACTAACAAATATGCAGAAAAAAAAAATTAAACAAAACAAGAATCTGAGCAAAGAAGTTATTAATTAATTTTAAATGTTGAGTAATTAAACAATTCAATGAAATCTAATAAATCAATTAATAATGTAAATTAATTAAAAGGATAGGGGAGAGGAAAAAAAGATGTGTAATTTGTACAGTAATATTGGAAATTTATTGTGTCTAAGTAGATTATAATTGTAAAATTATATTAGAATTAGTATATTATATAATATAAGGAATCTTTTGGCAAACATGCTTAAAGATGTGAATCATATGCCCTCTTATTATATAAATTTTTGATATATGTTTCGTATTTTTGTCACAAATGCTATGTCATTTTTTATTTAGTTATGACAGTTTATGATTAAAAAATTAAATTTGCATTTTGTAGTAAGGTTATAGATTTTTTTATTGAAACTTTTTTTAGACCATAAAATGCATAACATTATTATAAAAATACATAACATTGTTATAAAAAAGCGTAATATTTCCACAAAAATATATAACATTGCTATAAAAAAAAATTATGAATTACAAATTATCATAACTCCTTGAAAAAATTAAATAATATTTATACAAAAATACATAACATGTACAAAACAAATTACATAATAAATAAATTTTCTTATAACATACAATTGTATTTCTCAATCTATTCACAGAAAACAAACCAAACCATTACACTTGTTGAATCCACTAACACACTATACAAAATAAAATACAAAACATATATACATATAATATATATAGAGAGAGAGAGAGATACACATATCAGTTTGTTGAACAATAATGGTTTGTAAATCCGACAGAAAGATGGTGAAGCAACGACAGAGAACATTGTCCAATCTGTTAGAGAGAAGACAAAAATGTATTAAAAAAATAAAACTAACTTTTCTACTCCAACACAGTAAAGACTTTAGCTTGGAGTGTTAGAAACGGTAGCAGCTGGTACGGGTACTAACGAGTGAATGAAACCCTTACATATAAATTAAAAAAAAAAAAACAAAAACAAAAAAAAATTGATAAAACGGTGCCGTTTCGAGACACACAATAGGCACGACAGGGAGTAAACACAGCAGGGAGCCCGCGTCCAATTACATCATGTTTACGTGTAGAAGGGACATGGATGTGACATAGCATTTAAGAGCAAAAGTGATGGTGGAGAAATTATTTTTTACTCCTGAGATAATATTATGGTGTTTCAAATAAGCCTTCATTTAGAAAGACTTAAAATAGTCTAATTTTTTAACTTCTTTTTGTTATTTTAGTTTGAATTTGTTATTCTTGTTTGGTTTTTATTTTTGGCTTTTTTGACTTTTGTGAGAGAGAAAGTGTAAGGATTATGGTTTGGAATAAATATTTTATCCTAGTGGCTTATGTAACCAATTTTGTCTTTGGTACTTTTTTAGCCAAAAAGCCAAAGCCAAAGCCAAACATAGCTTAAATATTCATTGGTAAAAATAATAGAATTTAACAATTTTTGTTGAATTTTTGGAAAATTATTTGTTAAGTGTCGAGTGATAAATAATGTAAAGTAATATTTTAAGATTATCAAATAATCACTTGTGTGCAATAGGTTAACGAAAAATAGTGAATTGGTCTTATTTAGGAACAAACTATTTTAATAATTTTTGAATTTTTATAAAAAAAAATGTGTAGAAAAATAGAGAGAGTGATGTGATAACTTATAGTCACTTTTTGACTTTTTAACTAAAATATATTATCCCCAAACGAGGTGTCCCCCATAAATTTGAAATTTTTTCCCCCATTTTACCACTTTTTAAATATTTCTCATGTTTATATATGAACTTGTATACTTTTGATGTTATTAGGGCTATGTTTGGTAAGTAATTTTGGGCTAAAATAGTCATATAGGATAAAATAAACTATTTTAGCCAAGAGTGCTGCTATTAGCACTCCATAAATTATTTTGGACCCCTAATTTTTAACTTTTTTTATTACAATAATAACCTCAAATAAAATTACTACAAATGATATCATTAATTTTGGGACACTCCATCTCAGAATTAAGCCTACACACCCACTACGTCATAAAATTAGGATTTATGAGAGCACCCACCTCCATCACCACCCACCTATCTTCCCCAAATCCCACCTTCAAAACCTACCCACCCTCAAAACCTTGAAAACCCTTTGGCAGCAATATTTCGGCAATAACGATAACAACCATTTGATTACCTACACTTCTCCAGTAATGATAATGAGTGAAAGTTTTTCTGACAACCACAACTCTATAAGACAAGAGGAGTACAACAATAAAAATTTAGAGGAGATTCATATCTTTGATATTGTTCTTAACTCAGAGGAGATTGGCCTTATGGGTAAGTTTCTTAAAAAAATGAAAAAAATAATAAAATGTGTTCGTCATTTTTTCGGGACTGAACTCCCAAACATATGACCAAAATTCGGAAACACGAACCCAAACATTGTTTATTTTTTCGAAAATAGGTAACCGAACATTATTCATAGGTTTGGACCTTGTTTTATGGATCATATTTTGAAATTTAATTTGTATTGTTATTTATTTCAGGATGATAGCGAGTAAATAGTTAAAATTCTTAACACTTGCAAAAATTTTATTTTTTCAAGTTTGGAAATATAGGCCCGAATATTATTTATTTGTTCGAGAACACATTCCTGAACATAACTTATTTGTTCGGGAATACAGGTCTGAACATGAAGGAAACTCACCATTTTTGGGTACACTACAACTTTGTTTTGTTTATGGCTCTCCTTCAATTCTCACCACACACACACCCATCCACCCACCCACCCAGACCGCCACAGTCCCAAGACAGAGATAAAGATAAGAAAGGGAGGACATGTTATAGTAGAAACCGGAGCACATCAAAAGGCTATACCATGTTAAACAAGAGTGTTGATCAACAAGTTAGCATATCAAATGGCCCAAACGAGAATAAAAATAAAAAATAAAGATCTCTCTCTCTCTCTCTTCATGTAGTAGTTAGTCAAAGGCTATACCATGTTGTAGCTTATATGAACATAGACAATATTTTTCTTTTTCATAGGTTTTGAAAAGGATAAGACTCTTCTTTTTAGTGGGTTTTGTTAGGATTTTTTGGAATTGAGGTTTTTTTTTGGGGTGTGGGGAGTATGCATTCAATGGGTGGAATGTTGAAGGATAATGTTGGGTATTATTTGGGAGGAGAAAAGAAATTTTAAGGGTTTCAAAATTTATAAGTAAGGGTCCAAAGAAATGGGGCTCCAAAATAATTCATGGGGTGCTAATAACACCACTCTTTAGCCAAATAGGACAAATGGGTGTTTTGGAAAGATAGTTATAATTTGACCTTTTGGTTTCTTTTGGCTTTTTGTAAGAGAGAAGAAGTGGGTTAAAACCACTTTTCAAAATACTCCAAAATGTAGCATCCAATCTATAATCATTTCATTTTTCTTTTATAAAAATTAAAAAATCCAAAAAACTTATCTCAAATAAAATTTCTTAACCTCAGACTAAAATAATTAAAAAAATTAAAAATTAACTCACATTCCAAATGAAGGCTAGGAAATGACAATCATTTGATGCTATTGAATTATTTATGGAAACCTTCCCCCAGGAAGCTAATTAGAAAAGAACAAAATAAATGATGATTGTTCAAAAATAATTGAAGCTATACATAATTTAGAATGAATGATATTGTCAGATCGATCCGTGAACTTTATCACCAGTTGTGGGGACATAATTTTTTAGAGTGACAATACGTGGCTGAGGTGGCACTGAAGTGTCAGCCAAGGTGCCACGTGTCCTGGACATGATGCCGAGGTAATCTCGACTAGGCCGACGTTATTTGCGAGAATACCGGAATCTGGGATAAGCGGATAGGGATAAGAGTCCTAGATTGGGAGAGGACTTCAGTTTGGATAAAGATAAGACTCTTAGAAAGTTTATCCCAA